TACATCCCAGTGTCTAAGAACACAAGTTATAACTCTTTATTTTTCATATGCTTTTTATATTTCTATAACATGCTTTAGTGGAACTGAGCAGTTTTCTATGCCCAGATCAAACTGAAGCAAGTGAGCAAATGTATTTTGAACACCTACTTGGCAAACATACATGAGCTACTCTGAGTCAAATGCAAGGAATGTTAATTTACAAATACTTCAAATACTCTACCCCCTGGGGAAAGAAAAGCACTCCTTTAAGTTCCTTTGGCAGAAAGCTCCAGGTTACTAACTTTTAATTTTCTACACCATCTCTAATTTAATGTTCTGATCATGTTACAGAGTGCAACTTAAAGACTGCATTTTTTTCTAGTCTGCTTTCACAACCCTTGAATCCACACACCTATCTCTATGGTACAGTGCTCACTAAGATTTAATGCACTCCTCTCGGGCCCTCCCCTCCACAATGAGGCCATAAACCAGCAGCGGGAGGTAAGGAGGCAAGATTATACACATGATTAGGGTAAACAGTAACCATCAGTTCGCTACCCCACAACTGTTTGCCTATGTTTTATTTTGGTGGTAGAGACGCTCATTAAATCTTGCTTTCAATACAATGAATTGTCATTTACATTGATCTGTCATAAAAAACCAAGAAGTTCCTTAAATGATATTTTGAAAGACAATACTATTTTAAGTTTATAGCTAGCTTTTACCTCACATTTTCAGCAGACTGTAGTGTGTACTGTGATGAATAATAAAATGCATCATAACCCCTAAGACATCTTATATTTATATCTTCTGTGCATGTATGTGTGTGTATGTGTTAAAGAGAGCAATATTTTGCTACCACCTGGGAATAAAAAGATATAATATATAATAAAAATAAAAAGATAAAATGAAACTATTTTAGAACGTGTGTGTGTGTGTGTGTGTTGTTCAGGTTATGCAGGTAGAAAGATGGCAGACGGAGAGGGAATACAGATATGTGTACAAATATTCATAATAAAAATTGAAGGGTGGCAAAATATATCTACTCATTAATTTCTTGAGGATAAGATCCCCGATCATTTAATACATTCATTTTTTACTTCCAGGGCTGAGCATAGTGCCAGGTACACAGTAAGAATTTAATATATACTTGTTAAATTAATGAATGAATGCATGTACGCATGCACAAAATGTTATGGGAATACAGAAAAGGAATTCTTGACATTCTGGGAATCATGGGGGTGGATTAGTTGGTAAAGAAGTCAGGGGGTAGAGGCATGTAATAGAGGCTGCTGATTGTTCCCCAATACCCAGTCTCCCCTTCTTTTATAGTAATAGGTCCCTCAATTTTTAGCTGGACACATTTACCAACCTCTTTTATTGTTAGGTATGCCACATGACTAAGTCCTGGCCAACAGAATATCAGAAAAAGTGATGTATATACTTTTCGGGTCCTGTCCTTGAAAGGAATGGGCAAGCCCTCTCTTCCCTCTTTATTCCTCTAACCATTGGCTGGAAATGGACATGGTGGTAAGCCATCTGGGACTAAGCTGACAAGAACACAGCCCTCACATGTAGCCTAAAATAGGAGTCTGGGTGCCTAATGACTGTAGAGGAGAGCTGCTATGCCAACAGGACTATTTGTGAGAATTAAACTGTTTCATTGAAGCCAGTCATTCATTATTTTGGGTCTCGGACTAAATTACATCTTTGTGATGCCTGCACTGAGTTTCAAAGATTGGATAGGCATTCACTAGACGGACAAAAAGGGAAGGGCTTTCAAGACTGAGGGAACAGCATGTGTAAGATATGGCAGTTTGGAGAATGGCTTTAGGATGCCAAGCAATGAAGCTGGAAAGGCAGACAAAGGCCAGATCACACAGGAACCATTCTGCGTTGCAGAAAGGTTTAAATTTTTTCCCAACACACAAGAAGATACTGCATGGCAGCTGTGCAGGAGAGCGAAAAGATTAGAGACTCACAACTTGCACGAACACAATTCAGCACACTAGCTTTCTCTATAATCTCATACCTCCTAGGATCTAAAGATTAAAGGAGCTTCTTTATAAATAAAACTTCTAGGAGGGAAAGGAATATCTAACAATTACTGAGCACTTACTACTTTCCAGACACTCTTCTTACAGGCATACTCCATTACCCGAGGTTTCACTTTCCACAGTTTCTGTTACCTGCAGTCAACAGGGATCTGAAAGTATTAAGTGGAAAATTCGAGAAATAAACACTTCCTAAGTTTTCAACTGCCCACCTTTCTAAATAGCATGATGAAACCTCACTTTGTCTTGCTCTGTCCTGGGATTCACCCAGGATGTGAATCACTCTTTCATTCAGTAGATCCACACTGCACATGCTCCCCACCTGTCAGACACTTAGTAGCCACCTAGGCTTTCAAATCAGCTGTCATGGTATCAAAATGCTTGAGTTCAAATAATTCTTATTTACTTAATAGTGGCCCCAAAGTGCAAGAGTAGTGATGCTGGCAATTCAGATACGCCAAAGGGAAGACATAAAATGCTTCCTTTAAGTGAAAAGGTGAACGTTCTGTGCTTGAATAGGAAAGAAAAAAAATCATTTGCTGAGGTTGCTAAGATATATGGTAGGAACAAATCTATCCGTAATATTGTGAAGGAAAAAGAAATTCATGCTAGTTTAGCTGTTACACCTCAAACTGCAAAACTTATAGCCACAATTATATATAGTGATAAATATATAATTCAGTACCATCCATTGTTTTAGGCATCCACTGAGGGTCTTGGAATATATCTCCCATGGATAAGGGGGGACTACTGTACTATCTCCACCTTACAGATGCAGAAACTGAGGCCAAGGGATGTGAAGGACTTGCGTAAGATTTCACAGATGTAAGTTTATCAAATGCCAAAGTCTATCCCTTCCTGTTTAACACACTAAGGGAAGGACTAGAGAACACAATTTCAATCCCTGAGTATCCATAATAATGTTAGTGTATATGTAAATTATGTTTATTTTCCAGATTGGACCACTTCTACAAGCTAGTTGGATAAATTTCTGAGATTCCTAAATAGTAGCCAGTACGGTCTGTAGGGTTATTTACCTTGGGTGTATTTAGCATGCTTTCTGCTAAGTTTGGGGCTTGCACTTGCAAGCTTTTCATATGACTTTGATCTTGGTCTAGAATTAAGAACTTCACTCAACTTGCAGACTTTGGTTTCTTTTGCCTTATGGAGAAAATGGGACCACATATCTAGCAGATTTTCCCCCCCTTTTAAACAGATATTAGCATTTTATTGATTTCTTTAAAAGATTTAATGTTTTTTCTCTTAAAATTGGAAACATAATTTATCAAGTTTCTTCCATAACTCAATGCCTACTACTATTTCACAAAAGGTTTTTCTAAACCAGGCAATGTGAAGTATACATATATATATGTTACATTTCATTGCATGACCTTTATGAATTCACTTTTGCATTAGTTCACTGAATTTTACTGTTAAGAGACATTAAGAGTGCATGCAAAAAAGGCTATAGATATTCCAACAGGCATTAAAATTTTTAGATTACCAGACCTACTGAAATTTGCTGGAGAAGTTTCAAAGTGGCAATAGGAAAGAGAAAAAGCAATCTTCGCCTTTCCTTTTTGGTTTTAGAACATGCACTTTGGAGAGAAGCTAGGTTACAAGGCCATCAATGAAGTATTTAAAATGCACAGAAATTCAACAATAAACTCAAATCTCAGTCATTTGGTTTTATTCTAGAAATCAATAGAGTATTTTTCCACATATGCTGAGGCCGCTAAGATCTATAGTAGTCTTTTCTCTGATGCAGACTTCGTTCTGGGGCTCTCAAAAATTAAAGTAGCCATGTTAAAACCCTCCGGGAAGGTTCACATGTGTTCCCAGTTGCATTCTATAACTTGGAGGGGGGCGAAGTTGACCTTTTGTAGGTTCGTTTCAGCACCGCCTTTCTTCGCAGGCAGCCTCTGTAAGGGAGCGATGCGGTCTTAGGTTGGGAAAGATCTTTAAATAACTTACCCTGGAAGAGTCCGTCTAACGTGCTACCTATTGTAAAAAGCACGGAATAAAGTGAGGCTCGTCTTTTTTCTCTTTTTTCGGCTCTACACCTGTCTGGTAGCATTTCCTGCGCTCCTGCGAAACCCGCTAAACCGGGTGTTGTCAGCGACACAAAATTCTGGCTTTTTAGGAGCCCACAGGGGACGCTGGGAAAGAGGGGCCACTCGCGATTCCGGGGAGGACGAGGACCCTCCGCACCGCGCAGGGGACCTTGGACTTCGCGGCGTGGGAGCCGGCGCAGGTGTCCCGAGGCGCGGGAAGACGAGCAGCTCGCGGAGCCAAATCCCGCGGGAACTGCCCTGGGCGGCCGCTCTCGGTTGCTATGGAGACCCGGGCCTGG